TGTTCAATCTGTATCCATTTTTAAAAGACAATGCTGCCTTCTGACACACACTTGCTTGCATGGCACTATATGAAACCTAATATTTATCTGAGATTAGGTTCTGCTTAAATCCTCTTTGTCTCTGGAGTTCGCAGCACTCACTGTGCTTTTTCTTTAGGGCAAAGGAAGAATTCAGTGTTATTTCTTTTGACAGACGCTGGTAACTCGGGGACACATTCAGACTTCCTAATATGACTTCATTACATTTCAATGAAAGGGAGCAAAATTGTGCTTTAATTCCATTTTATGTTCTTGTGCTGGTCCCAGCAATGAAGGATATTGGGCTTTAGGAACTGCACGGTGATCACCGATAAAGTAAAAAGGATTCTATCCAGTCTGGGCCTGGAGCGTTCCTTACCTCTAAAGTGGAGGAAAATCGGGGTTTTGAAATGTTATTATACAAGAGTGTGAGGCAACCAATTGCAGCTTTCTTCACCCTCATCAGGGAACAAGAAACTGCGGCTCAGAGAGGGCCTCACAGTTACAGGGTAGCTGAGCTGGAGTTTGACCAGCTCTGTCCCACTGGAGGCCCCTCTTCCCAGCAGCCTCCCATGGATACACGGGTTCGTAGTCTCTGTTCAGAATCACAACAACAACAAAAGCAGATGTTTCTATTTTAAAGGTTGGGAACAGAGAGTTGTGCTACTTTAGCAAACAAACCCTAAGGGCTAAGCATATACCCAGAGGGTTAGTGTTGAAATCAAAGCGTTAAGTTGATATGTATTCCTTAGTATGCATAGCAGTTATTTTGCCAAGAAAATCAGTCATTGTAACTGGGAAATCAGGTATAAATGGCTAGTCATTCATTTACTGCTTTTACAGACAACATTTAACAAAATGGTTTCTTCTTACTTTCTTGGGTTTTACAAATTTTCAATCAAGATCAGCATCTATAGTTTTGTTTGATTCCTTTTCATTCTATTCTCCTTCCCTCTATTCCAGTCCTCCCTGCCCATTACCAACCCATCACCCATTAGAGAAACATTTTGGACCACAGCTTAGCCCTTTGTGGGGTTGGCATTACCTTTGACCCACCCCTCCCCTGCTCTGCCCCAGGGAGGCATCCTGGGCTCCCCGACTGGAACCCCCACCCCCAGCACACCAGGCCCCATCATCTGGCCATCCTGACACATTTCTGGTTGGGGGTCCAGCATCCAGTAGAGGTCAAGTCCCCAAGGTTGCAGCTGAACCTCATAGTCCTCACACCAACTAGATGTGAGACATAAGCTGAGAGTGTGGACTTGGGAGAGAGATCACCTGCTCCTTTCTCCGAGAATGAAATGAGGCCTAAAGAGTGTAGGTAACCTGCCTGAAGAAACACAGCTAGATCGAAACAGGTGGACTAGAACAAGACCTCCTGTCTCCTCACCCCCTCTCCCTCCACTATCCCATAAGACGTGAAAGAGCAGCATATTTTATCTAGCGACATACGCTACTTTTTAAAAGGCATTAGCAGAAGCAATAAAAGATGAATGTATACTATAACTTAAGCAAGGTAAAGAGAATAAAAAGCACATATTTAAGGGAGTAGCTGGGTATTTCTCATTACCAAAGAGGCTACCTGGGAATGCAATTCTAACTCTAAAGACTTCTATTTTTGAGTTTTCTGGAGGCCAAGTTGAAAATGGAAACACATTGAGTTACACAACATTCATTATCTAACAAAATAAAATAAAAAAGCATTTGAGGTTTACCATAAAAACTTTATTCAAAACTTAAACTTAAGTGAAATTATCAGCCATATGATAGTGGACAATGTACTCAATAACACTTTTACAAAAGATATGATTCTTGATAGACTTAACGCTAAATCTTGGTTCTGTCTAATTCTGCATTTCTTTGGAAGCCTAAAGTACTAGGGTCCAAGTTTGCACATTTGTTGTAACTTGATTGATTCAGGATAGAGTTTAACATCTTTAAAGCAATAGTTCTCAAATATTAATATGCAAATAACTTAACTGGGAAGATTTTTTAAATGCAGATTCACACCCTGGCTCAGTTGGTTGGAGCATTGTCCTATACACTAAAAGGCTGAGGGTTTGATCCCCGGTTAGGTATACATGGGAGGCAAATGACTGATGTCTCTCTCTCTCTCTCTCTCTCTCTCTCTCATCAATAAATGTATCCTTAGGTGAAGGTAAAAATAAAAAAAAATAAAATGCAAACTCACTGGCCTCTCCACCTCTCCCCCTAACTCTGCATATCAGGGACAGAGCCTGGGTCTGCATTACTAACAAGCTCCGGTTTGGATGGAGGCAACCGGTGGAGCACATTCTGAGAGACACCAATTGAGAAGAACAAATTGTTTCTAGGCTGCTTAGCTTTGATCAGCCCCTTTGAATATGAATTTTCTCCACTTAATTGTTGATTCACGGACAACAGATTGAGGGGAGACAGAGGCAGTGCGAAGGCTCTAGGTTGTCCAGACTCCTATGCTTTGCACCAGGCATACAGGGAGCAAACATGGGTCTGCCTGATGAACTCAAAGCGTGAGGAGTGAAGGGGGCCATGGAAAGGGCCAGGAGTGGAAGAGGAGCTGGCACAGAGCAGGCTGGGAACACCCGAGCAAGCCTGGCTGCTTTGCCACTTTCCGAGGCCCAGCCTGTCTGGGCTCTGTTGTCCACGGGGGAATCTGTGTCTGGCCTTGCTGTCTTTGCCTACAGCTTATGGGAAATTTTCCTGGACGTCCATTCAGAAAGTTGGGGTGAAAGCAGGGGGCCATGGACTAAGGATTCATGGGTGGGCTTCAGGGGCCCTGAACCCTCTGAAATTATACACAAATATTGTGTGTGTATAGTTTTGTGAAAAGAGATTCACAAAAATACACAACTTTCATCAGATTCTCAAAGGGACCACAAATGATCCCAAAAAGCTGACAATTGCTGAGAGTTCCCGGTGCCGCTGAGGCCTTGAGCTCCGTGTTCCCAGCACATTGCGGACCTGACGTCAGTTAGCTGACCACCTCGTTGGTGACAGCCAGGTCACCAAGTGTCCCTCCACAGGAGCCACCCTCCCTGCCCAATCTGAGGATTCTGGTAGTAAAGTTGTCAGACTTGATTTTGACAACTTGTTTTGGGCAATTAATGCCCTTTCATTGCTCATGGTAACAGTAATTTCAGGTGACAAGATTGTTATGTGCTGCTTGTTAATGGGGCCTCTGGGGTCGAGAAAACACCACTGAGGTTGCTCTGCCCTGTTCTTTCCCATCTCTGGCATCACCCTTGAAATCTCCAGATAAAATGTTTAGTCAGCTCCCACTCTGAAAGCTACAGAGCGCGGTTTCCTTTCATCCTTCTTGCAAGGGAAGGATTAGAGAAAAGCTTGCAGCCTTTCCTTGCAGCCTCCAGCCCAGGCCAGGCTCCACCACAAGCTTGCTGATCATTAACTTGAAAAGCTGGGGAATTTTCTCGCCCTTCCATTTGCTTGTTTACCCGTCCAGCCAAGTTGCTTTACAACCAAGTGAGTTTTGAATAAAGAGGGTCCCTGGTGATGAAATATTTGGCTCAGCTCACGTCACATATTTCCATTCCTTTTTACGTCGCTGAACAAGAGGGTTCGTTTGACCGATGGGTCAGGGCAGGTCTGCCTAATGGTTCACCACATGCCAGCTCAGGTGACAGGTGGATGGAAGGGAGGTAACTCTTCTTAGCAGTTTAGGAAGCTGGGAATTGGATGGCTATTTACTAGCTGTGCATATTGACTGGGCCATGTGTTTGACCTCCCTAAGCCCTCATTTCATCATCTGTCAAAAGGGGATAAAAATAATAGCTAGCTCATGGTACAGCTGTAAGGACTCAGTGGTTTCGTAAATACCTGGCAGATAGCAAGAGCTCAGCGAAACTGAAAAGATAGCATCTATTATAAATACAATTCATTTCTCCTTTCCAAACCCAGATCTTATAAAGAAGTCTGAAATAGTGGGGAGGTTAAAGAAATAAATATAACACTCCAGCCCAACTTTATCTCCATGCCCTCGAAGCTTGTTAACATAGCCACATCTCATCCCATCAACCCTGAAATCCTTTTCTAAAATGCCGCAGACGAAGATAGAGATGATTACACTAGCAGTTCAAATTGCTTGACACCGATTTCATTGTGTATGACCACATTGCTTGCAATCAAAGATTTCATGTGAAACTGACAATAAAGAATTTGTAAGAGACCCGTTTTCTCTCTCTGGTTCTCCTTGATGAAACAAACCAAAGACATTACCATCGTGGTGACTTTTCACAAGAGTTTCAGAGTTGTTTTTTAGCAAAAGGTGTCTGTTCTTTTTCCTTACTTCCGCATCTGTCTTAGCATTTTATTCCCACTCTTTAGAAACTAAATGCTAATAAATTTGCTCCTTCGTGGAGTTGATTCTCCTACTTAAGTATTTCCTTTAATATTTTTCTTCTCAAATTTCATGAGGGCTCGTACTCACCTTTATTGCTATTTCCTTAGGTCTGCATTCATAGCCTTTGTTATTTATTTATTTATTTATTCACATTCATAGCTTTTATATTTACTTTAATCTTCAGCCAGACTGCAGCAGGCAAACTAAACATTGCACCAAGATGTTGAATGTCATCTAGGAGTAATGGCCAGCCCTGCAGTTATATCCTCGAGTCAGAAGAGCCTCATCTAACTGGGAATAGGATAGGAAACTGGAGCTCTGTGTCTTGAATGGCAAGGATCTCTCCTTGTTCTTGACAAGCTTTCCCTTAATCTAGCCAATTGTAGAGGCAAGGAGAACAGAGAATGCTTAAAATTATTTCCATTAACTTATTTAGATGGGGTGTTTGGTGAGAGTCCATAGAAATATGGGTGATACAGAAGGCTAGAGAGGTCCCTGGGTTGCATCCACATGACAGAGAAAATAACCCAAAGTACGTGTGTTAGGGACATTGGGATGTTTGGCTAATGTTTCTACACAAAAGATGAACCCATTTGTTCAGTAATGGTGTTGCTTGCCCTCCTAGCTGCTGCGGTCTGTGTGACACTCCTGGACAGACTTGAATGTGACCAGATCAACTTGCCCCATGATATCCTGGTGGAGTACCAACCACAGCCCCAGCTTCTAATCTCCAACTTCATCAAACAGCGGCTTGGACTGCGTGACCAGCCATCATAACTGGGCAGCCCAACTCTTCCCTACAAGTTGTCATGTTGACATTACATATCATTTGTGGCATTTTCATAGAGTTCTCATCCACATGCTAAAATCATAATAGAGTGATTTTATAAAAACCCCTTTCTCCTAAAAAAATGAATTTATTTTAAAAGAATTTAATACATTCATTAAGTTCAGATTTTATTTTAGAAGTCAGTGTAATAATTAAACATTTAAAACTCCTGAACTGTGACATTTGGAGTTTCATATGCAGCATTAATTAAGCTCATATCAAAATAGATCAGCCATTTGTAGACACGGTTCCCGGTCACTGTTTTGGAAACCCATCCAGAAATTCATGATAGAATGTTGTCAGGCACCCTCGGTATTGGTCAAGTGACAGGAATAGATCATGCACACTCAAAATATTTACAGAAAAAACTGTGCATGTAAGATAGGTCTACATTAAAAAGCAACCCTTTGGGAAATATGACCATACTTCTTTCTCCCCTTGCATGATCTCAGCGCACCACGGAGTAGGATTAGAGGCTTACGTTTGCCTATGTTTGTGGTTTTATCATGAGATATAATCATGTTTATTTTCAAATGAAAACCCTCAGTAATGCAAAGAAAGATTCTCATTTTTCTTCAGAAATCACAAATGATTCGACCATCTTCTAGCAATTTTTTTCCTTTGAAGGAGATATATTTTGAGGAGGCTGTATTTTTTATGTTATTTCCATATTTACCTAATAAATGGAGGAATTAGTCACAACTGACTTTAGACTTGAGTTCAAAATGTTAAAGCCTTCCTTTTGTGTGACTTTGAAGCAGGTCCTGCCCACACCCTGCCTGTCCTCCTATTCAGTTAGACCCTCTGGGAGCCAGAGCCCCATGGGCTCTGAGTTGATGCTCCTGGAGGGGGAGGGGGCGGCTCATCTAAAGCTGAAACACTTAGGAGTTGGGGAGCGTGAATGGGGGATGGGTGCAGGAGGCCTAACAATCTTGTATAGTACGTCACGTTGTGTATATATATTTATATGGTTGTGACTCAAAGTTTAATTTCAACCAGATGGAGATTATTGCATCCTTTTAATCAACGACAATGAACAATCCCCCAAGAGGTGCATCAGTTTAGGGATTTCTTTTGGCAATAGATATGTTTGGAGTGCAATTTTAAGGCACCCCAATAACTGACCAAAGATCGGAGCTAAAAGTTAAGTAGAGTAATGTTGTCATCATTAGTGGAGTATGCACTTTTCCCATCTTTTGTAGACCAAGTGGGAATAACCTAATGCTCTTCATAAGCTTTCAAACCCCAGGGGTTTGAACTTCTTTCTTGTCTGCTCCTAGAAAATCTTGATTTCTGTTTTATTGAGAGAAGAGGAGGCTATGGGAGAGACAGAAAAAATGAAAAATTACGGTGAATCATCCTGTGAACTCCTGACTGGGAGCGTGTGTGCCTGTGCGGTGCATCTGCATAGGTTCATGTCTGTGTGTTTTCATGGTATCAGCTGCATAAGCCAGAAACTTGGAAACTTCTCTGGTGATTCTGTCTCCTTCTTTCCTACTCCAATCAATTGCCAAGACCTGTTGTTTGATTCTCCTAAATACTTCTCCATTTGTCCACCAATGGAAAGCCTTCGTGGTCCTCAAACAAGATTCCATTTACAGCCATGACCAGCTCTTCTACTTCCATGTTTCACTCCCAAATACCAACACAGTTGAAGTTTAATGATTACTTTTTGGTCCAAAATACACTAAATGACTTTCCCTGGCTTATTTCTACCTAGTTATAGAGTATTATTTAGTACTTTGTACCCTGTAGGTGCTTAATAAGGACTATTCACTATCAGTCTCAACAACATCTCAAAGTCAGTTGGAATTTTCTTTCTTTTAAAAATATAGCTCTTGACATTTGGGACTCATTTTGCAGAAGGTTGATAAAAACCAATGGACCTGCTCTGCAGGAAAAAGCACATTCATATGTCTACCCCTGAATTTGCATATAATTTGAGTTCACATACCTTCCTCAGTCTGGATGGCAGGATGTCTGTGTCCCCTGTCAAAGACCACAGTGCCTGTGGGTGGCCCCTGCCACACCCCTGCCTTCTCTAGCTTCTCATAATTACTCGCCCTCCAGCCCCCTTAGATCAGGGCTGGTAGCAGCTGTTCCCAGCTGTACTATCCTTTGTTGTTCCCTAAATCCTGCTCACCCTTTGTAAACAGTCCCATCAGTAAGTTCTGTCAGTTCCCCAGTTTAATTGTGCCACTGATTCCTGCTGGGAACCAGAACACATTGGAGAACCCAAAATTTTTTTGAAAAACACGGACTTGAGAAACTGAAGTCATTTTATATGAAGATCTCCCCATTACAATATTTTTTTCTACTGCAAAACAGAAGTTAGGATTTTTGTTTTTAAACTGGTAGAGAACTTTTAAAAAGATAATCCTCTATAAAAATATGTATTCTTGCATTTAAAAGTCCCCATGGAACTCACCAGAGCTTGCAGCTTGAGAAACACGGGTTTTGATGTATTTCCCTAGCCGGGTGCTGGGCATCTCATGTATGATAGAATTGAAAGCTTGAGTCAAAGACAGATAAATGGCCTCTATTGCTTGCTTCCGAGCTACGTATCCCATCATTCTGTCACGGAAGGAAATTAAAGTTGTCTGGCCAATACTGCATTGCAGACAGCCACACCATTCCTTGTCAGGATCCTGTGTGCCTCTAGACGTCTACGCACAAATATATTTTTTGAGGATTTGATCTACAATCTTCATTTCAGGATTAGAGATAAGTAAACTAATTTTCGGTTATTAGGCTCTCACTTTGTCCCTTTAAAAAAAATAATAAAGGAAGCAGGACTTTTCCTACATCTTCTAGGACATTCTCTATCTTATAAGAATCTTGAAATGATATCCAGTGGCTCCACAACCCAACGTCTCCTAAGATGAATAACTGAAAGTACTTATAATGTTCAACCTGCTTTATTATTTATTTACTTAACAGTTTTCCATTTCTCAGTTGCTTTTTTACTCCTTTCAAATAGGTGGTACTCAATATAGAATCAATTTAACATTTATTTCTCTAAAATTGAGCATAGCAATTTTCCCTTGAGAACAAAACCCCCCCATTAGACCACTTCTTCCCCTCTGAAACTTTAAGCATGATTTAAATATTATTTTTTTATAATATAGCATATATTTAAAAACCATCAGGCAAAAAAACCTAGAAACGAATATCATATATTTTATAGAGAATTGGTCAAAATTATCCCACCAAAAGGTACTTTCTTAGGATTATGTTCATTTTTTCTAAATTTCTAAAAATTCCTTGGAAAATATGTTATTCTCCATAAGTACCTTAATCAATAACACTGTGAAGCATTGGGCATACCAGTGTTAGAGAAACTATCAGAATAATCTGATTTTTTTTCCATCCCTTGTCAGAAAAGCAAAAATAGGCCTTTAAAAATATGGATTCTGCCCTAGCTGGTTTGGCTCAGTGGATAGAGTGTCAGCCTATGGACCGAAGGTCCAGGGTTCAATTCTGGTCAAGGGCACATGCCCGGGTTTCGGGCTGTGGGCTCAATCCCCAGTAGGGGGTGTGCAGGAGGCAGCCGAACAATGATTCTCTCTCATCATTGATGTTTCTCTCTCTCCCTCTCCCTCTCTGAAATCAATATGTATATATATATATTTAAAATATATATATATGGATTCTTCTTTTCATTTTCATATCACTTTATTTTTTATCTGAATCTAAGGTCCTTTGTATTTATATTTCTCCAGACACCACAACAAAAAACAAACAAACAAAAAACAAACACTAACACAGAACGCTGTAGTAAATAAAATGTCACCAAATTCCCACTTACTCTGGGTAAACAATCAGCAGTGACCTCCAGCCCACCACTCAGATCTGTTGCCTACACTTCAGGGTCCTCCCATCTCCTCCCTCCTTCCATCGGGACTCCAGAGGTTTGACCCGTTACAGAGCTGGTTCCGTGATTAATGTAAGGTTTCGATCCATGGACCTACTCTAAGTAAACAGCAAAGGCTAGAACAAACATATTTGTAAAGGACTTTATGCAAGTTGCAATGCTAGGTGTTCTGAGAGAGCACGACAGTCACTTCCTTTAAATAATTCACAGCATACTAAGTTTGAGGCACTCTGGCAAATACGTGGCTAACTATAATTAAAAATATAATCTGATAGACTCCAAAAGAGAGGTAGAAATGAAAGTGCTTTGAGGATTCAATAGAGGGAATAAGCATATGAAGGGGGAGGGATTTGAAAGGTTTCTTGGACAAGGTAGATATTTGAGATGATCTTTATTTAAGGATCATAATTTTAAAAGACTCTGGGGAGGATTTTGCCATCAAAGGGAAAGGCATGAAATAAGACAACGAAGGAACATTTAGGACATATGACTAGAATAGGAAAGACTCCTGTTTGGCTGGGTCTGGAACGGTAATTTGGGGTTCTATTATTTGGAGCCTCAAAAGTCAGGTTAAGGAGATTGGACCTTATTCCTCCACAAAGGGAAGTGGTGGAAAGGCATAGAGCAGGACTGATCAGAAGTTTGTGGGAACTAAGTGGGAGGAGGAGGAGCAGGGTTGAGATAAGCACCAACAACAAGAAACTGTGCCGGGGTGTGGATGACCAAGACTTGACCTCCCGCGGAGTTCCAGGTTAGGGGGCGGGCAGAAATGGGCTAAAGGTAAGCTGGGGCCACCAAAGACATCCTTTTCTTGTTAGACCCAGCAGCTCCCCTGCTTGTGGATGTCAGGGCCTTCAAATTTTCACCTAAGAAATCAAGCAGCTAACATATTTCAGAATAAAAATTTCCCCTTCATGTGAAGCTGGTGTGTTTCTAAAGTCTTTCCTTTTGTTAAAAGGCTCAGGAAGGTTCAGACATGACAGAGCCAGAGCTGCAGCTGTGGGAGAGATGGCATTTAAAGGGCTGATGAGTGAGAGATGTCAGCGATGATCTCAGTGTCTATGCAGATAAAAC